TAAACGATAAAATTTTCAAACCGTCATTTTTCATTCAGCGCGCAAGTCACAGTGGTAGTTAAAGCTGAGAAAATGAATTATTCATATAAAATAGAAAATGTAAAGATGTATATGTGACTGAAAACTATCCAAATTAATATTGACTTCATTCAAAACTATTACTGCAAAAGTGAATTTAAAAACTCAAATAAACATAATTAATCTTAATGTTGTTGTTTTTGTTACAAACTGTTTTCATGTGATTTGCAAAAAAGAGCGGTTTTTGGTTGCTTTTTTAGTGCTTTCGTTGATCTATTATATTGAGTGATCTACATAAATGAATTATCTTCCATATCTATCGTAAATAATGATTTCAACCTGTCGTGCTGCGGTCACAGTGGTTTGATTTCGATTGAATTATTTGTTATCCTTTATTGAAGCATACGCTATTCGGTAAGTACTGGTGTTGTTTAATCTCCAATTATTTCTTTCTTTGCTGTTGGAGCTAAACTTTGTTTCTGATTTGCAGTAATAGGTTTTGTCGTGTTTTTTTTATTTTGTGCAAACATTGAGGGTAAAATCACAAGTTAAATTGACCAAAAAACCTAAAATACCGAAAATTATACAAAAACAAGCGTGCCTTTGACTGATCATAACCAACTGATCATAACCAAAGCTTCCGTGAGGTTGAACGACTAATCAGCCCTTTTGCATGAGATGCGCAAACACCCGAAACAAAAACAAACCAGAATACTCGGAAAATTGATCCAATTAGCTCTTGGAATATTAATACTTAATACTTGAAATACGGAAGTATATACAGTAGTCTCGTTATCTACCGGTCTTTAGGCTAATTTTTTTTCCAGAAACACGCGGTATGCAGTTGCACTAATTTTAGTCATATGACAATATCTGGGAATTTATCTCGCAAAATCGTTGTTCCGACCATTTGAAAAATGGCGCGGAACTTAGTAGTTTGGTCTGTTTTTTCTTTTGCATCTCAAAATCAGGTATCACAAGTAACCATCGGAATGGGTCGAGTAATATATCCAACTAAAGACCTTTCTGTCGTGATTTGAACCATTTAAAAAATTTCCCAAAAGTTTGTCACAGTATCGTGAAAAACTGGTTTCAAATTTTTGATTTTTGTCCAATTTCGAGCAAGAAAATTGAGCGAGAAGGCTTATTTCGTTTTTCAATCAAAATAACTTAAAACAAATAATCATTTGATTGGTAAGATTGATTTATCATATTGAAATTCGTTCAGCTCTGATTCGAACGACATCAAAAATTAGCAAAAAGTTGTCCCATTTTTGAGAAATTTTAGTTCCACTCTGGTAACAAAAAATTTTCAAAGTTATTTTAGCGCAGCCATGGGAAAAAACTATAAACTATTTAAAAAATTTTTTGCAAAAATATGGAAACAAAGTTTGACTTTTTAATAATTTTTGTGTCATTTTTTGACAAAATTGTTGCTCAATTTACTGTTTTACCTCGATTGTCGATTGTGCCTAGGCTTTCGTCAGGTCCTTTTATCACACCACACCACGCACAAAAAATTTTTGGTATCTCTCCTATTGGTTATCCTTGATTTAACTGAAATAATGGTAATTTAGCGCTACTTTTAGGCAAAGCCCATCAAAGAATCAAACGAGCAGTTTCGCTTGACTCGTGTCAGGTTGATTTTGTAACGTGCGAACTCGTCTTGGCCCATGAAGATCCAGGGATTGATACCCCTTGAGAACTTTTTTTTCGAAAATCAGTTTGAATTTAAAAAAAACAACCGAGCATATATTCGCCACTTTCATCGAAAGTCGGAACAATATTCTGTGGTTCAGTTCGGCAAGAGATACTTATATGGGACACCGCTGATTAAGGAACGTTTTTTTTTTGTTCTTGATATTTCCACTCGGGACGATTACCATCAGTATTGAGTGATTTCTCGGTTACATGACAAAAGATTCCTTACCTCAAGATCCCAAACGAGAAGATCCCAGTCAATAGATACCCTTCCAAAAGAGACCTCGTTCTAAAATTGCCCACGAAATAAGATACCGTAATCAGAAAACAAAGAACCTGAGAATTGAAACTAAAGCGTTTAATCGATCAAAGCAACAACAAAGCGTCGGTTAAAATCAAAGAAACGTCAAAATTTTTGCTGCACAAATTTCGAAGATAAAAGACCTTGCTATTCACTTGGCCTTTAAATTGAAACTCAAACTTCAAAACAACCTAGGCTACAAATGAACCTGAAAAGGGTTTCCAATTAATCCAAACCAACTTGGCAAAAAATGGCCTGATTTTTCACACAACTCATGTCGGTACAAAATTGAAATGAAGTTTTTGCAAAAGTTTAAAGCTTTGAAATCTTTTTTATTACAAATCCTTTGCCATTCTATTTGATAAAAATTATTACTTCTCAATTTTGATCAACTTTTCTTACGCTAGATGCAATACTCAAGGGCCGTCAGGCCCCTAACCCCAACCTAGCGTCCCGTAAATAAAAGCAATTGCTCGGTGATCAAATTGCTAGAGACAGCATTTTCGAATGCGAGTCGTAGTATTGCATTTTGGCGTTCTCCGGGAGGGTGCAAGGAGACGTCTATAAAAAAGTTGCTCAAACAAATTTAAATTTAGAAGAAATTAGGCCAAAACTAAATTAAAATTTAATAGGTTGAATGGACAAGTGAACAGATAGAAGACAATATGTTAATATATGTGTTTGAACTCGTTATCTGTGGAACTTTTTCATTCCGATCACGGTACTTTTTCCGGGATAAGTTTATAATACCGCTGGATGCCTTCACATAATTGGATTTTTGATTATAGGAATCCAGTTGCATTTTTTCAAGAAACGTATAAATTGAAGATTGGCTGCCTTGAAACAAAGCGGATACAACTAGTTGCCACCCTTCAACTGCATTTGTGGTTCGGGCTAGACCACACACAGCAGTTGATGATAGGTCATAAAAAAATCCCCTTTAATCTGCGTTTTTTTTTGGAAATAAGCCGTGAGCTCGTCTAATTTTTCGAGATCGTTTTGTGAATTATCCAGTTTGGTTGCCACGCTGCATATTTCGTCAATTACTAGGTCGATTCCGATTTCCGCTTTTGACTCCGGCACAAAACTAAGCGCAAGAATCATGTTCAGCGCTAAGACTAGCTCACTGTTTGATTCGTAAGCCTTTTTAAGGCCCAATTCGCATATCTTCCGCTTAAAGCTCTGAGAGAGGTTAAAATAGCAACCCTCAATGTCAGCTTCGAAATGAGACGCAAAATCACTCAACGCCGCAATTTCAAATTCGATCAATTTTTTGCCGGGGCTATGTCACAGGTAAGCAATTTAAGTGCGGTTAGGAACTTATTATAGGTTGATAAGCGCTAATTGCTGATCAGAGCGTAGACGCAAGGTGGATACAACCCGCCAGTCTGGATGTGTACAGTGTAGAGCTGGTAAAGTTGACTGGGGGAAATTTTGAAAGTAACATCTACAAGCCAGGTTCTGTTGCACAATTTAAGTGCATTGAGGCTCACAATGTCGCTAAAAATCGATATGCGTTCCGTATCTGGTTTTCTGCTATGAAAAAGACAACAATGCTTAAAACGATCCGCTATTTCGAAATGACGGTCATATGTAGCAATAGTGGGCAGGGATGTATAATTTTGGGCAGGTTTTTTTTGGAAGGGTATCTATTGACTGGGCAGGTCTCTTTTGGAAGGGTATCTATTGACTGGGATCTTCTCGTTTGGGATCTTAAGGTAAGGAATCTTTTGTCATGTAACCGAGAAATCACTCAATACTGATGGTAATCGTCCCGAGTGGAAATATCAAGAACAACAAAAAACGTTCCTTAATCAGCGGTGTCCCATATAAGTCTCTCTTGCCGAACTGAACCACAGAATATTGTTCCGACTTTCGATGAAAGTGGCGAATATATGCTCGGTTGTTTTTTGTAAAATCAAACTGATTTTCGAAAAAAAAGTTCTCAAGGGGTATCAATCCCTGGATCTTCATGGGCCAAGACGAGTTCGCACGTTACAAAATCAACCTGATAGAATCAAGCGAAACTGCTCGTTTGATTCTTTGATGGGCTTTGCCTAAAAGTAGCGCTAAATTACCATTATTTCAGTTAAATCAAGGATAACCAATAGGAGAGATACCAAAAAATTTTTGTGCGTGGTGTGGTGTGATAAAAGGACCTGACGAAAGCCTAGGCACAATCGAAAATCGAGGTAAAACAGTAAATTGAGCAACAATTTTGTCAAAAAATGACACAAAAATTATTAAAAAGTCAAACTTTGTTTCCATTTTTTTGCAAATAATGATTGGAGAATGTATAAATTTTCATTAGAGTTGTTCCAATTCAATACCATTATAACACTAACTTAAATACATGCTGGCACAATGTAATCCCAGAAATAAGTCCAGTTCAAATTTAGTTATCTTAGGTTTGCAGTGTTCAATAATAGCGCGAACATAATTGAGATATCATTACTCTATTGAGATATCAATACTAGATTTATTTCTGGTTACATTTTGATCATGACTTTTGTTCATAATTCGTGCGATTTTTTATATTGGCATGGGATCTTATGGTATGGGCGATTTTGTAAAAGGGATTTTTTGGTACTGTTTTTTTGTCATGGGAGCTGTTGGGATGGTATCTTTTGTCCTGACACCCATTTCTCATATTTTTTGACAAGATTTTTTGTTTCGCCCATCAGTTTTTTGTCATGTTTAAACTGTTGTTAAATTTTTCTTCAAACTGTTGTTTTATTTGCATATTTTACTATGATTGTCAAATATGCCCAAGTTGTAGCGTTCGTTCAGATCTTTTTATCACACTATGCACAAAAAAGTTTTCTTTGTCAAGTTTTAGCTTATAAAACCACTAATATGGTACTTCTGAATTTTTTATTTCGTTTTGAAACAAACAAATTTTCAGTATATTCAGTTTAATGAAATTGTCATTGTGAACCTGAGGTTTATAGTATATTAAACAGTACAGAAAACGTTTTAGCTGCGAAAGTCACCGGTTAGTAATGTTGACAAATATACTCAAGGAAGACGAAAGCTAGGTTTTTTAAATTGATTGGCATTAACAAGGAATTCTTAGCAGCACACATGTGGAAGCTTTAAAAACACTTTTAGTCTTTTTGGAGTGTATAAAAGTTATCAGTAGCATGCTTAGGTGGAAGGGCTCGAAAAACGGGAAAAGCAATATCAAGGCTCCATTAAAAGATCAGGGTGCGCATTTTCATCTTTTAAATACGTTTAAAATAGACTCTGCGTCATTTTATTCGAAAAGTTCATAATATACTTGAGATCAAACTAATTGAATTTGTAGAGCATGCTTCATGTGTAAAGAAAAAGTTGTAATTTTTTAAATTTTTGTGAAATTCAATTTTATCAAAACATTTTCGACTACAAAATTTTTGTCTGGTAATTATTGTACCAATTGAATTTTTTAAATATATGTTGGTAAGTCACCTGTTCAACGAACTATTAATGACGGAAAATGAAATCGGGCGATAGTGCGGCGTGTTTTAAAAAATCTAATGGTTTGTCATTGTTTAATTTTAATTAAAATTATCACGACTCTTAAACCAAGTAATCCTCATGCTACTACTCTCCTGTTGTGATATAGGCGCACATTTTAAGAGTAAATATCATCTAATGACAAAATGCATACTGATTGTGAATGACAAGTATTTAAATTGTTCTTGTTGTTAAATAAAGTGTCAAGTAGTCGAATAGAGTCTCAAACTTAGGTGGCGTAGTATCAGTATAGCATTTGCACAAAGTTGATTTAAAATTATTTTTTACACATCTATAGTCTGAGCACAAAACTTTAAAGAAGTGTTTTTTTTGCTATGATGGCTCCAACTATGTTTTTTCTAAAGGATCACCACCGATTCACTTCAAGTTTTGACGATTCTTCCATAGCCTATCTGGTCCCGGAACACAACATGCGTCGAAGCTTGTACGAAATGTGTCAGAAACACACAGTAGTGGTGATGGTGGGGCTTCCCGCTAGAGGAAAGACGTTTGTGTCGAAGAAGCTGGTGAGGTATCTGAATTGGATCGGAATCAGAAGCAGAGTGTTTAATGTGGGCGAGTACAGACGCAAGAGGCAGATGGGAGGATACGGTGGATACCAAGGTCAGAAAATTTCTTCAGACAAAATTATTAAGATTGTTGCTAGTAAAATAAAGACGGGACCCTGATGAAAGAATTTTGTCTCAAAATTTCAGAGTTCCCTTCGTTGTTCCAACGAAGTAGTGGGAAGTAACTCAAAATTCGGTCGTGATTTTTTCTCACAAGACCAGTGAAACAAAGAAACATCGGTCGATTGTAATACCAATCTTCTGGATTTTTTTGCTTAACAGACTTCAATTCTGGATTTTTATTCTGGATTTTTTTGCTTAACAGACTTCAATACAGCGCTGTTCTCTTTTCGTGATCTGCGCCTCTTTTCAATTTGATGAAAAGGTTTTTCAAAATAGTAAATGTATTTAGGAACCTCCTTCTGTGCTTTTTGCACAGCAATTGGCCTCTCTTATTTACTTGACTTGGTGATTTTTAATAGAAATAGCCGGATTCATTTTCTATGTTGTTATTTTTAGGGACGCAACGGTCACACTTTGAAGCTTGAAGCGTTCTCGAAATCAATTGAACAAGCCCCCTTTTTATTAGACCCCCAGCCTTTCAATCACGGTTCCACTTTGGGCCTTTCTTCCGTTCATGTCGCCGTAGCCGGTTACATCTTGAAGAGGCAGATGACAAGCCCCCTTAAAAATGCAATCAAAAAACATCAAAGTTTAAACAAGGATTTTGTTAGTCAACATGAAAAATCTGATTTGTATAGATTATCCAACTGCAACTAGGTCCCCTTCAACAATATAGAGGATTTCTTGTCTAGAATTGTGAGATCCACTACTAATCGGATGATTATATTTTAGAAAATCAAACTTATGAAAAATGTTTGAGCGGTTGGTTCTATACGCATGGATACAGCGTCTTGTTTGAGCCAGCTTATTAATACAGTCTTACGGATTTAGTTTTCGTTTTTATTTCCTCAAAAAAAATAACTTTTTTGACCACACTTTGTTTTGCTGAGTGTATTCCCATGCAATCGTGGCTTTAAAACTTGCGCAAGAGAGATGTGCAAGTCTGAGCGCTTAGAATCATGTGTTACCACTGCTTGAAACTGTAATGAATCTATACTTTTTATTTTCTTATAACGTTAACTGTTTTAGAGTTTCCCCAGTGCCATAAAATTTATCAATTTAGAATAATTGAATGTTTCCTATTTAGGAGATGAGTTTTTCAAAAGCAGCAACAAAGCTGCGATTGAACTTCGCAACCAATGTGCTCTTGAGGCACTGCACGACATGGACGCCTGGTGTCAACAGAAGCCGGGATCCGTCGCAGTATTTGATGCCACAAATTCGACTCCCGATAGACGAAAGCTGATCACCAATTTCTGCGAGAGATTAGAGCTGGATGTTATGTTTGTAGAGTTGATCACCAATGACCAGGTGATGCTAGATGCTAATATTAGAGAGGTGAAAATCATGAGTCCAGACTACAAGCACTTCGCCAATCCAGATGAGGCAGTCGCAGATTTCAAGGTCAGCTGAGTTAGTCGAAAATGTGAACAAAAACGATATTGAAAATGTATGCTTTTAATCAGCAGCAAAATTAAATGACCAAAAACATTGCCAAATACTTTTGCAAATCTGCAGTTTTTTTTTTTTTCAGATAACTGATTTTCGCTGCTTCATTATTTTATTTTCATCATGATTTAATGATTTTTGTCGCTCACGATTAATGAACTAGCTCATTTGTATATTACTGATTGAACTTGAAAGTTAACACCGCAGAGTTGCTCAAACATACTTTCTTGTTTGAGAATAAGTTTTTGTGGTTTAGAGAAGAATTGAACACTACGAGGAAACTTATGTTCCGTTAGAAGAAAATTTGCACGAAAACTCATCCTATCTCAAACTGATCGACTGTGGGAAGACATACGTAGTGAACAGAATAAACAGCCACGTGCAGTGCAAAATAGCCTACTACCTCATGAACATCCACCCAACTACGAGATCCTTCTATTTCACCAGACATGGGGAGTCCTGTTTGAATCTACAAGGTCGCATAGGAGGCAACAGCGACCTATCTGAAAGGGGACGAATGTACGCAGAGAAGTTGGGCCAATATATGAATTCATTGAATTTACCCGATTTGCAAGTATGGACAAGTCAACTGAAGCGAACAATTCAAACGGCACAATTCGTCAATGCACCGAAGTTAGCTTGGAAGAATTTGAATGAAATTGACGCGGGAACTTGTGATTCATTAACATACGAGGAAATTGAAGCGAAGTATCCGAAAGAGTTTCACGCGCGCGACGAGAACAAGTATCATTACAGATACCCGAGGGGCGAGTCGTACGAGGATCTGGTCGCGCGATTGGAAAGTGTAATCATGGAGTTAGAAAGATCCAAGAATATTCTAGTTGTTTGTCATCAGGGAGTGCTACGATGTCTGCTAGCATACTATCTCGAAAAAGAATTAAAAGATCTCCCATACTTGAGATGCCCATTGCATACAGTGTTTAAATTGACTCCGATAGCTTATGGATGTCGAGTTGAGATGATTAAACTAGATGTACCAGCAGTGGATACACATCGTGGAAAGCCCAACATGACTTCAGCTTCTCCCGGGATTCCGGAGTCGCTGGAAAAACGTCACAGTCAGTCGTCGAGTGGTCCCGAAAACAGTAGTGAATGCTGTTCATAAACTATGGGTGCTTTTAATGTTTAGGTTTATTGATTTTTAAAAAGCGGGGCGGAGCAGGGTTTGTTTAAATTCAGTTATCAGTCCAATTAATTGTCAGCCAATCGTTCATATCGTGCTTTCTGAATATCTCAAATGAAAAGATTGACTTATTGAAGGCTAATGAGTCTAGAAGAGCAAAAATTGACAGTAATTGGCGATTTGAGTTTTAACGACTCGAATTCTCGAGGAAAGGACTGTTCAGTATTAGAAAAAAATCATGACAATATACTCAGTAGATAGTTCGATTAACATGAAGATTAATTCGGAATGGGGTATCTTTGAATTATGTAACGCAATAGCTGATTGTTTTGCTATTGATGTCATAATTTATTTGTTAAAATATATGAAATTATTTTGAAATAAAGAGTGATTCTAATAGTGCTTATACTTATAGCAAAATTAATGAGCATGCAAGTTCTAGATACGCAAATATTGTACTCAGAGAAACCTTTTGTAGGCCTTTGTGTTTATTTATGGAGACATTCCCAAGGGAAATCAGTTTAGTAAATGGTTTTTTCTGAACCAAGCGTCTTTTTCTGTAATTAATGAAACCCAAATTACTCAATTTTATGCCTTGTTGGCGTAGAAAGGATGCTACTGTTTTATGCGACGCAGATACTGGATTGCTATGCATTGGTGATTGTTGGTCGTCGTATGATTAATCTAACATGGTTTAAGTGCTGTCTCACAGATTTGCCCATTTTTACAAAGAGTTCATCGATTTTTTTGGTCTTTTCTTCCCTAGCTTTCGATTTTGTCGAATTGTTTGTTATTTTTTGTACACGATTAATGTTGCCTATATAGTCATACAAGATCGGTCCCATTTTTTCAGACGAAGTTGGGTATTTTGTACAATTTTTTTATTCCAATTTTTTTGTTGACTTAGCTTGATTCAGCTGTATTTTCATTCAAGAGCATTATCTGCAGCCTGATATATATGAACAAAGAATGTGTTAACGTAGAATAATCCAAATACAGTATAACGATAGAGTTCGAATTCTGTAGCTCCAGGTGTTTTTTGTTTGATTTTTTTTTCGGACAATTTTTTTATTTAATTGCATTTTTCCTGCGCTGTTTTTAGAGCTCATTAGTGCCGTTTTGTGTTAATACTTGCGGAATGCATCTTAGCGTTTGTATTTCAAATGATTTGTCTGAAACGCATAATAGCGCTCATCATTAGGAGCAATTTAGTTTACAGGCACGAAATATTTTTCTCTTTATATACAGAATTTGTTTTTGCATTCCCTTACTGGATTCGTTGTTTTTGTTGATTTTTTTTTCTCTGAAACGCTTGGAGCAATTTAGGAGGATGTTATCAATATAATGACTTTCTTCTTTGGCTATTAACCCTCTACTAACTTTAAAAACGAAAGCATCGAAAGTCTTGATGCTCCACTTTAAATAGAAGAAATTAAAATGGCAATATGTAAACAGAAACGGAACAAGCCCAGGTCCTGATGAACACATATCTGAGTTAAATCAGCAACTTTCGTACTCGTTTGCCAATAAAATTTTACCAATGTTCCAATCTGCGTTTAATTTTGCCAAAACGCCGCTGTTTTTAAATAAAGCCATAATCAAACTCCTGCCATAAGAAGCTGAGAGCCTTCTACCGAATGACTGCAGACCGATCAGCTTGATAAACACAGACCAGAAAATCCTGTCACATGTAATAGCTGAAAGACTAAAGCCAGTTTTAATTGAAGTTATTGGAAGCTAACAACATGCTCATTTGCCCAATAGATCTTTTCATCAATCCATCCTTGAAATCCGATTGGGACTCCGCAAATGAAAACCGAACGCAGTAGCTACAACTATCGACTTTTTCAAAGCTTTTGATAGGGTCGATTGGAAATATATCTTCCAGCTTCTACGAAAAATTGGCTGTGCGAAGCAATTGATAGAATTGCTATACAAATTTTCCCTCAGTGAATTTGTATAGCAATTCTAAGTCATCAGTTGTAATTAATGAGTTTAATTCCAGAGAATTCAGACAGAAACGAGGAGTACGACAAGGATGCCCATTATTGGCCCAGCTTTTTATTTTAAGCTCTTGAGCCCTTGTTAAATCAAATAGGAGAAGCAAGCTATTTGAGTAAATTTGAAATGCGATGTGTTGCGTATGCAGACGAAGGATCACTTTGCAGACGGATTTTGCAGAACTCTACAAACATTTTATCTAGATGTTGAACCTCGTCAGCGGTTCATTATCTACATAAAATGCTTGATGATTTCTGCAAAGGCACCCAGTTCCGAGTTAATTGAAGTAAATGAAAGTCCTTAAGCCTGTACGAGTACCCAAATATGGAAACAGTTAGAGCATCAAAAGACCTCGGCGTAGTATTAGGGTACCTATAATTTTTGAAAAGAGTCAATAATGAGGAATTTCGGAAACGACTAAAAAATTGCAATATCAAATTCAATCGATTCATGTGTTGCTGAGCAAAATTTTTTGAGCTTTCCCTTTTTCTGATACCGCAAATAATTCACATAGGAAGACACCATCTCATTTGCATAGATATTCTAAAAATGTACTAGGAAGTTACTAGAAAAATTGTTTGGGGAGCTGGCAGGAAATGTGAAATAGCTTTACTGTTCCTTGAACGAGACTCGTTCAAAGGTGGAGTGAAATTTCCTAGCTTGCAGACCCAAAATTTTTTAGCTGCCAAAATCTTAGACTTTTAGACTGCTTAATTTAACTTCGGAGCACTGCAGAAACATATTTTAATGGAAAACTGGAATGATCCAAAAAGCAGGTTTTACAGAGGTAGATAGAGATCTAGAAAACGCAAAACTCAGTATCAATTCAATAAATGACGAAAAGATTGAGATTGTAATTTCACAATGTTTGATGATGTGCATTTACGCGAAAACAAAATACGTACAGGAAGGTTGCGTTGAAATTTTTCTTTTGAAACTAATTGAGAAAAAAGAACCGAAAAGAGCTGCAGGAAGTTCAACCTAAACCCAACCGAATTCAGTAAAGTTTCTCCATGGTTGTGGAGACAACCAAGGTTGACCAGCTTTGAACAGAGTTTTTACTATCGTCTACTTTTCAAATGCCTTCCAGATAATATTGTATTGAATAGGAGTTTAAAACCCGATCCAATATGTGCATCCTGTATGTGTGTGTATGATTTCGAGAACTGTCCCTATCTGTTTGAAAGTTGCCCTACAATGGAATTTTACCTGGAGAAACTTCAATTCCAAAGATTACTCGACCCAAGCAACACAGTGTTAGAAAAACGAAAGCAGTATAAAATATCCTTTTTGATACATGGAAAGGCAACGATGCAGAATGTACGACTTAAAAAAGTTACAAACTTTCTGCATTGATTTATTTAAAACAGTTTTTTGCTGAATTACCAAATAATTGTAGTACATAACTTAGAGTAATTTACGATTTACATACTAAATTCAGTGATTCAACTATCAAACTCAACAATATGATAAGATTTAAATCACGCCACCACAAGTCACGCTCAGCACTTTATATCTAACATCAGCAGCTTTTTCATGACAATTTTTCAATCTAATCAAAACTATTAACGATTGGTTCTTTTCCCATTTACATCGTTTCTATTTTATTTTATACGAGAGCTAAGTGTGCATAGAAGAGTTTTCGTCAATCGTCAAGCAAGAGTTCAAGATGTGGTTTGCTCTGTGTACTAGCGAGTTTCTTATGTCAATCTGCAAATCAAGTTCAATTAAGCTCAACGAAGGTTAACAAACTTGTCACACTATTCAATTTTTCCTGCAAATGATTCCGAGAGATCATGTCATTAATTCAATTTAGACTGGCTTTTTTTATTGCGCAGGTGCATCAGACTGCTAAAAACGATACGTTTCGGATAAAATATAAAAGTTTCCATCACCTTATTTTTGCTATTTAATTGTTTTTTAAGGTCCAGGAATTGAATAGTAGTGTTTCAAGATAATTGTCAAATTTTTATCTGAATTTACAGATTAACCAAATCAGAGCTGCGGTTAATCCTGCTAAGTTTATCACCACTATGCAAACATCATTTCGAATCGCAGTTGTTACAAATTTGAGTTCGTCCATTACCGCAAGTTGTAAAGCTAGCTGTTCGTGTCATGTCAGCTAGTAATAACTAGTACTTAGGTGATTATGAGTGCTCGAACTAATTTCAATTCTATTTCTCGTTTTTTAACTAGAGGTTTTAGTGACAAGTCCAGAAATATATACGAAGTGAGAGTGTACCAATGCTACCCGAAAGAGTTTAAGAAGTACGTGCAACTAAATTCCTCGGAGGATTTCAAAATACGTCTGAAGGCATCGAGTCCTTTAGGATTCTGGAGAACAGAAGTAGGAACCTTGAGTCAGTTATTCCATATTTGGCCATTTACTAGTGTCTCCGAACGAGCGAAGATACGAGAATCGCTGGCGGGAAATGAGAAGTGGGACGCACTCTTCCCACGACTAGCCGAGACATGGGATTGGCAAACGAGTAATTTGTGTGAAAGTATTGGAAGTGTTCAAACAAAGCCGCTGTTTGAAAAAGGTTTCTACTACTACATATACTCAAAAAATATTGGAAACAAGTTTGTTGAAAAGTTCAAAATTCCGAAAAATTTGGAAAGCTCAACCGGGGTTATGGGTCAATTCAAGATCACAGTTGGTGACGCGGTTGGAGCTGTGTACACCGTAATCAATTGCAAGGACCTGGATTCTGGTTATGAGCTGATGGCTGCAAATCAGGAGATACTGATAGATTCGAAATCAAAATCTAGTCTTATCTACCCTCTACCGATCTCGCCATTGCAATAGGGTTTTCGTTCATCGGCTCATCACACATCAACTCATTATATTTTATTTCATCGACAGTGGTTTTTACTGAACTAAATTGATAGATAAATGAGCAATTGAGCAATATTATATAACGAACACAAGATGTGCGTTTGTAATCTGTCTATCAATATCTTATGTGGACGAACACAAGATGTGCGTTTGTAAGTTTGCTTTGCAAGCGGAACCTCAGATAAAGTCGGGTCATGTAGTGTTTGTTGCATCCAGAAAAGTTGTTTTCACATGTTCCTTACTCAGATTTCATAGCAAGCAATTGAAGATCTTATCATTCAGTTAATTTTCCTAGTCCAAGAAAAATAATTGAAAACTAGTCTTCTGCAAAAAGTTCGTATTGTACATTTCGTTCAGCGTGTTCAGTCAAAACTATCCTAGACAAAGTTATCTCAGATAATTTAATTTGAAATTGTGCAATCAAAATCAATACTCTGTTTGGTAATGTTTGTTCAAAAATCGATTTTAAAACATTGAAATTTTCGCTTAAATTTTGGTAAAAGTTTACTTCAATTGACAACATCCCGCTGTCTCCCCTTTAATCTCAGAACGTGAAAGA